GCCTTAGGTTCACCACTTGATGAGCAACCAGCCACAGATCTGCACACAGAGCCGTACGAATCCCCACCTTCACCGCCAGAAGTACTCATCAGACCATACCACGCCACCCCTGCGACACTTGACTTCCACGATTCCCAATACGAAGACTCCTACACACACACCAATCAAGACACAACGCAGATGACGACCCCACAACCTATCCTGCCGAGTGATACACCAACTCTCGAGATCGACCAAGGAATCTCTTCAAGACCACAGCGTACTAGGAAAATCCCAAACTACTTAAATGACTATGTCTTGTCTTAAAGAAGCCCAGCAAAGAACATTGCACAAACATAACATTATCAGTGAAACTAGTTGCTTTGTTAGTCTTAATTTGTCAACATTAGTATCGTTTTTGTATGTTCTTGTTTTGACCAACATATTGTCTGTAAAGAGAGAAGAAGAAGAAGTCACGCCAGCAGACTAATAGGTCTGCGGATAGTTATCATTATGACCATGCGCACGCATGGAACGCCTTGTTGTTTATTATTTGTCGGTCAGCCATCTTGTTGCCTTTTTACTCGTTCACTACTATTTAAAGGCTGTTTATCGTTACGCGTTGACTCATTTACTGGCGATGCATATAATTTACAAGTACACTTTGATCATTAATATTTTATAGCACTCCTTACTGACATATTCATCAGGCTACATGTATTGGAACATCCATTGATGCAAGATGACAAACTATATGTTAGAGTGATTGTGAAACAAACAGTTGATGCCAATTTTGTCTCATATTTTGTCTCAATTTTTGTCTCACTTGGCGGGTTATTTCATGTTATATCGTTTATTCAATCAATGTATATCATTGCTCATGTACGTTAGATCATCAGTAAGCTAAAAGACATTCATTATTATTTCAATTGCTTTCTTTTTCTTTCCTTTCTGCAGGTGAACTGTGACAGATATGTAGAACACGTTGTGTTGGAGTTTCACAGCATTCTATGTATGCTCAACAAAATATTGCCTACTTTTTTGAACATGAATTTAGTTCTATGTCTCTTGAGTAAGAACAAAMGCTTATGCAACCCTACATGTACCACTAGCAAACTACGCCACAAATAGTTTATACTTTTGGATACCAATCGATAGCTTTCAAGGTATTAGTGCAAAATTGCAGGATCCACTGTTGAAAATTTCCTCAGAGAAAAGACACAGATGGCAAATATACAATTTCGGTCATTATCAACTTTTGCAATGGGCTTGAATAAAAATATTTGACTTCACTTCATTTTTTTGCCATCTTTTTCGCATTTCACGGAACGTTCTCCATTTGCGTTTGGTCCCAATGTGTATATGTGAGTTTTGGACATGCCGGGCATGAGCTAACATGACCTTTTCGCGCGCAGGGCATGAACTAACACTTTCCACATGCCGGGCATGAACTACAGATTTTCGCGCGCAGGGCATGAACTAACACTTTCCACATGCCGGGCATGAACTAAAGATTTTCGTGCGCAGGGCATGAACTAACATTTTCCACATGCCGGGCATGAACTAAGGATTTTCGCGCGCAGGGCATGAACTAAGGATTTTCGCGCGCAGGGCATGAACTAAGGATTTTCGCGCGCAGGGCATGAACTAACATTTTCCACATGCCGGGCATGAACTAAGGATTTTCGCGCGCAGGGCATGAACTAAGGATTTTCGCGCGCAGGGCCATAGGCTACCCAACTATTGCTTGAGAGAAAGAAAAGAATGAATGCGCACGCTTTTATTATCTTATCGAATGGATTACCGCTTGGGTTACCTGTGGTATATTGCGTCACGATCCCGTGCCTCGCGGGTTACAAACTAGTCTGTGACCATAGGCCGCCCAACTAATACATTAGAGACAGAAAAGAACGAATGCGTACGCTTTTATTATGTACACCTATTTCAAAAAACGTTGTCGTCACCACGACACAGTCCACAGGCTTGAGCCTGCAAAGCATCTCGGGGTTTCCATGCGTAATTAATATATATTGTGTTTTGAATTCAATGCCGGCAAACACTACTAATTTACTATTGCGTGTGTTAAACACATCGAACAAGTCCCGCCATGAAAAATTAGTAGTGTTTTCCTTGAAATGAATATTCCACGTTTTTAAACCGTCAATGAGTTTCAAAGCTATTTTCGCTACGAGACCGAGAATAATCCAGTCTCGACTTCTTCAATGCTCTGTGTTAGCCTCATTTGTTCGCAAAATATTCCTAATTGTGAGAATAAAAGATTAATTCTATCAATTCTATTGTCTCCCTTTTCAAATTCCATGCGTTTTCTCGGGCTATCAATGAAACAAAAGAATATGTTGCTTGGTTTTGAAGCTAAYACAGAGCAAATCAGAAYTCKAAATCGGAGAATTTTGAATAACTGAAATTGAATATATAATATATATGGCAATCCCGAGATTCTTTGCAGGTTCAAGACTGTGGGCTGTGTACGGACAACGACAACGTTTTTTGAAATAGGTGTATATGTATCGGCGCGCGCTCTTAGCAAAAATGCGGGTTACCTGTGGTGTTACGTCACTATCTCGCGCCTCGCGACTACATACTAATCTGTGACACGGTATGAAACACTGGTCACGTGATGGATCTTATTTTGCCCCTATCTCTCCAACGATAACAGTAAATGACAATTTTACCTACAATAATGATGTGTACTATGATTTTCTAACTACTTCATGAGTTTGAGTCTTTGAGATTCATTTTACGAGAAGAAAATGATAATGAAGCATTTGGCTCGCCATGGATCGATGTGTGCACCAGGTAGCTGGGACACTTTTTCGGAAAACGCTCGGGTTTTACATTCGCAAAGGCTTCGGAAGACTTCGAGAGCTGTCGCAAAGTACGAAAGTGAAACGAAAGTACTTTTGTAGCTGTCGACTGAGGTTCGGCTTTGGTGACATCAACATCTTACGGATTACTTGCGTATAATTGAAAAATTAAACGAGACTTACCTGTAAGTTGAAGTTTGATTGAGATTCTACCGTAGCATTTGCAGAAATGAGGAGGTCACGTGAGATAGCAAGCATAGTGTATCCGAGCTCAGTCTTTAAAGGGATTTTGAGGTGACTTTGGAAGATGAGGTGGTCATAGCAATCTTCAAAGGGAGTATGGGTAGGGAGGGATGTGACCTCCTCATTTCTGCAAATGCTACGGTAGAATCTCAATCAAACTTCAACTTACAGGTAAGTCTCGTTTAATTTTTCAATTCTACCTCGCATTTGCATACAATCGGAGGTCACGTGAGATTTCAAAGCCCAAAGGATCCCAAAATCAATAAGATTGCTACACATGAGCATGCATAAATGCATGGCTATAAATTTATGTAGGAATAAGAACAAAATGATCCTACACTCTACTGTATAAATATAAGATTCAGAACCTATACAAAGTACTATGAAGCANTTTCTTTTCATCATTCATCACATTATCGTCATTTTGGTTTTTCACAATAGGACTTTCACTCCTCTATGAGGTAGTGTTCGCACACGGCCTCTTCAATTGGGGCTAGCAGTGCATTTGGTTTCACTATATGCCACATTGTACTCGATTGAATCCACTGCCCCATATAGAAATTGGGTTTTAACATCATAACCTTGGGGTTTTACAACAACATATGATACGACATTTTAGTGGGAATGTCAATAAATTTCTCTAATCAGTACGAATGCTTGGTAGGTGTTTCCTAGACGTCCTATTTTCATTATATCTCTCCAATTTTTCATATCATATTCTTCATAATTTCATTATTGGTTTTTCATTATTTCTCTTCTTCTCCATACTCTTATTTATTTTACATTTTTTGTTACTATTACACATTTCTTTTCATTTCATACTAACTTTATCCCTTCCCTTTACCTAACCCTAATCCTAACCTTACCCCTACCCCTATACTTACCCTAACCCCTAACCCTAACCCCTAACCCTAACCCTAACCCCTAACCCTAACCCTAACCCTAACCCCTAACCCTAACCCTAACCCCTAACCCTAACCCTAACCCTAACCCCTAACCCTAACCCTAACCCCTAACCCTAACCCCTAACCTAACCCCTAACCCCTAACCCTAACCCTAACCTTACTCCTACCCTATTATAACCCCCAATCCCCTATCCTTAACTCAACCCCTAACTCTGACCCCTTATCCTTATTCTACTATGTTTTGTTTTGATTTTACATTTCACCTTTATTTAAAATTCTATTCGAAACCTACAGCGTTATCATTATTTACATACTTAGTTATTATCCAAATGCTCACCTATTCAAGTCTTCCATACTCCTACATTATCGATTACAAGCTACTTATCTCTTACTCGTGATGGATCCTAATGAAGAAACTACCTTAAAAAGAAAACAAAGAAATAAGATTAAACGAAGAAAATACAAAGCCAGAAGAAAACTTAACAAAACTACTCACAAAGATAAAGAATTCAAGAAACTACATAACAATAAACTCAGAATAAAGATCTCCCACATTGATAACACAAAAACCTGGCTCCAAGTACTCAAGAAGAATAACAAAAAGTATCTCATCAAACAGTATGATCAACAACTTCTTAAGCTCCATAACATCTGTAAACAAATCTCTACTACCAAAGCACACCTGTACTCCTTGAAAAAATCCGTCACCGTAACAACAGAATGCACTAACCACAAAACAGTCACTTCCACTGCTACCACACCTCCCAACCCTAATGACGCTAATATTACTCTCCATAACATCCAAGAAACAGAAAACCACATCAAAGAACTGCAAAACTCCATCCAGCATATTCAGAAGACCGCCTCCTCTATTTACAAACACAGAATCAAGACCGTCAAGAACACCTGCAAGCATCTCAACTACAACGCAAGCCATAAGTATAAACTTGAATCTATATTATATCATAATTTTTTAGACTTTTTCAACTCCAGAATTAAGATTATTGATACTACTKTAAGTTTTTTCCTGTTAAACAAAAGAAAACAAGAAATGAATTCATTTTTCAACAATGCTAGAATTAATTTACCWAAATCTAGCAAGATTCACAATTTTACAGATTTACATTTGAATCAAGACAATACTAATTTATTGAACAAAGGTACTTCTTTTGTRCCCACTTTTAGCAATATTTCAAAAAATAATATTAAGAAAAATATTTTACAAGAAAGCTATTCTGCTTTAGACAARCTTATTACTTCAGATGGCCAATTGCCTATTCGTAGAAAAACAAAARAATCAAAGTCCTTTTATCCTAGTAGATACAAACCTTATTCAGATCCTCGYACTACTATTTTAAGCCATATTAATAAGCCTAATTTTAATTTAGATCTCATMGACTACACTTACAAGACTACAACTCTCATACATGACACTATTAACTCCACGACGATTAACGACCTATACAAGACACAATTTGCACACACTAACATATCTGACAACGACAAGCAATTCATTACACAAATTCAAACAGCGACAGATATTATTTTTACTAAGGCAGATAAGAATTTAGGTTGGGTTCTAGTACCCACTACTTGGTTTATTTCTGAAGGTCATCGACAACTTGATGATACTTCCACCTATTTAGAAATCAATAATTTTAATATAGATAAGATATTTTCAGAAGCTAAACTATTTTTGCACAATATCAAGTCTCGTTTCAGYAAAATTTTCAAAACTATCAATTTTAATATTATCAATTTACATACTAAGCTACATGCTAATTTACCTTTTTTCAATCTATATCCAAAAGTACATAAGTTATCTGCCCAACCTACAAAAGATATTTTATATAAGTTAAAAGGCAGACCTATTATCACTGCCCACTCGTGGGTTACCAGTCCAGCCTCRCAATTATTAGGTTCTCAGTTAGACAATATTATTTTAGATCTGAAATCATTTTTTATCGATAATAATTTATCCTTTCCTATTATTTATTCATCGTTTAATCTTATTAATAAATTAAGATCAGTACATATTACTGATATAGATAATTACCACTTTACTACTTTTGATTTTTCATCTTTATACACAAATATTACCTTCCAAGATACTGTAAACGCCATAATTACTAGTTGCAAATTACTTAATTATTCAGTCACTTACAGAGATTTTTTACTCAATATTAATAAGTTTGTWAATAGCTACAATTATTTTAAATTTGGTACAAAAGTTTTTAAACAAATTCAGGGTATACCTATGGGCAGTTATCATTCYAGACAGATGGCTGACCTTATWTTGTTACTWGCAGAATATAATTTTTTAACTTCCAGTAATTATCACGATAGCTTTWTAGCCTTTCATAGRTACATTGATGATGGATTTTTACTTACTTATAAACACAATACTTACAATGTAATTAACTCTTTAATTAAATTTTATCCTATACAAATACCTATCACTTTTTCTTCTAATAACTATTACTGTAATTTTTTAGATATTACTTTATCSTTAAATCACTATTCTATTTTACATAATAGGGTACATTATAGAATTTTTCAAAAGCAACACCATAAATATATGTACCCTCATTTTTCTTCAAATCATCCGCCTTCTATTTTTCCAGGATTAGTTAAAACTGAAACTATTAGATACGCTAGACTTTCCTGTACATTAGATGAATTTTTATTTATCAGAAAATTATTATTTTTAAGACTTAAATTTCTTAACTATCCTCATAATATTTTAATTAATAATTCATATCAATGGCACTCTCTTTATAACTGTAATATTAATRAGCAACCTAGTATYTYATTACCAAAAAAGTCTTATATATACAAATCTACTTTTTCAAAAAACTGTAACACTAGTTTAACTGTCAGAAATATTCTTAGAAAATATAATAACTTAAGGAAAAACAAAATCAAATTTTTACAAGCCAAATGTATACATGCCAAGTTATCCRCTCTTCTATTAACTAATAAGACTTTRCATTCGAAAATCATGAAAYTACAGTCAACTTAATTTATTTTAAWTATTCATTATTATTTGTAAAACAAAGAGGTCTTAAGTAACTTAATAAACGATTTGGACGACTTCTGTTTACTRTTATTATCCCCGATTCCAACGTACYTAATTACAACTTACCTTTTCTTTTTCTGTACCTCTTTCTTCGTCTACGCCGTTCCTCAATACTTATATTTCAGATTGGTTTARATCGACACGATCAATTTACACTRAACCTTCACCAAGCAACGACAGTCCARACACGCCATCAAGAACCARAAGTTCACTTTTAACGGTCTTCTTCCACCTTCAAAAATCATCCAAGCGGTCTTAATATACTATTCACTARCAATTTACTTTCTCTATAACATACCTCACCTTTTATCGCATTATATAAACTCTTAGATTTTCCGTTTCTTCATTATTTTCCAACTCTTTGTACACTGYTAATCRCACGTGGCATCATCCACTTCACTTTTAARTATATCTGCTGACCATWTACAATCGCTTTCTCATATTTTATTTTGACGTCATTTTGCTGACGACATTTTTTGAGTCCGTAACTATAGATACGCCCTCTTTCCGTCAAGACCTTTTTGTTTTACGTAGTTTTGTTGWYGTCCTCTATCATTTCGTCCATTTTTCCTTTTATTTCCATTTTAGTCTCCCACCACCTCATACAGGTTAGTTGGTTTTTTACTTTTTAACTTTTCTCGATATTTTTTTTCCTTTTTATCGCTTATTTTTGAGTGTTTTTTCACTTTTTCTTTTCACGCGTTTCTACCCTCTTTTTTTGATACTTTTACTTTTCTTATCTTCTGTTTTTATCCCTTTCATCTTTTATTTTGTCCTCTCTTTAGCCACTTTCTATTACTTTTATAGATTTTCATATTCTTATTTAGACTTTTATAATAATTTCAGCGTCCACTTTATTTTTTCATACAAAGACTTTCATCCTCCTCCTTTAAGGTGAGCTTACCGTTTTTATATTACTCTCTTTACTTTGTTCYTAGTTATTTTTATTCTTWTTTATCCGTTCCCCAACCTATCCCCCCTCCTTTTCCCACTTTATATTCCCCGTTCCACAAACTATGTCCTTTTGAAAATCCTTTATTATTTATTAATTGCGCGCTTTACAGTATCTTTCTTTTTCTATTTATACCGGTATAATTTTTTCGACACGGGGAGGTCGGGCAAAGACTTGGTACCAAGTCAGAAACCTCCCTGCTCTGTAGTGCTTTGCCCCTGATGACTCACTACATCATTTTGAGCCATGGTGTCGATTGCATCTTTTTCTATTTTGCTTCCTTTTCCATTTCCTTTTCACTGGTTGCATATTTTGTGACCATACCTGAAATTTTATATTGTATTATTAATTTTATTAGTACCTCCTTTAGGAAATTTATATTGTATTTTTTTACCTGCACCCTTTAAATACCTTTCCCTACCCACCCAACCCCCTCCCCATTACCCCCTTTCTTTTCTTTTTAACATCCTTTTGTTATTCTTGCATATATATATCCACCATCATTATTAACTCTGATTTTTATACTCACTATTTGCCACCTTTCCATTATTTTCTTTTCATCATTCATCACATTATCGTCATTTTGGTTTTTCACAATAGGACTTTCACTCCTCTATGAGGTAGTGTTCGCACACGGCCTCTTCAATTGGGGCTAGCAGTGCATTTGGTTTCACTATATGCCACATTGTACTCGATTGAATCCACTGCCCCATATAGAAATTGGGTTTTAACATCATAACCTTGGGGTTTTACAACAACAAAATTTACTGAAAATATACGTAACATGGTGTCAATGAAGACCAAGGCAATACAATCGTGAGTAAAACTGTACAGGTATCACTGAACCAACACCATATATCTACAGTACCTACACTGAAGTTAATACAAACCACATTAAAAGTACAAACACATTCAATGCTGATAATATCTTACAATTCTTTGCAGTCAAAAATGTTCGCCACTGGTCCCACTGCGATGTCGGTGTTACAAGAGACTTATAGAATAGTGGACAATAGATTCACGGGGCGTGACGTTATAGAATGACACACAGAACTTTCAAATCTTTTCCTATATTACTAATATTATAAATTTATAGTTATAACCGCGATGTGAAATTTGTTGCATTTATATGCTAACAACAGAGACAGCAATTTGTGACTACAGGTACTGAGAACAAGTCCAAAGGAATTATAAAAATTCAAAACAAAATTCAGCCCCTGAGGCTGTGAACTGCTGTCATTATCAAATACCAAAATCCACCAAAACAAAAATATAGCTAGAAAAACCATAGTCTTTATTTCCATGTCCTGATCCGGCATAAACAGCCCAGAATTCGAGTAGTTCGATTAGATATGCAACATTTACAAAGTAGTTAGAAGGCTTTGACTTTTATCCTTGAGAAATTCACATCATTGTAAAAGAGCGCAGGCTCCTTTACAGCAAACGACACCCCTCTCCCCTCCCCCCTCCGTATTTTACCATTATTTTGAAGACTTTGTATCGTGAATTTCAATTTCGCACTTGGATTGTAATAAATTGAAACAAAGCTCTCACATCTTGTTAATGGTGCAATCAACAATCTTCTGACGAGGTTTGAATTCGTTGAGTTGATATACCTTTCTCTATTTGTTTGGTGGTTTACATAAAAACCATTGATAAAGAGCCTGGGATCCCTGTGGTCAACGACGGAACACTATCGAGCACAGTTTTCATCAAAAGTGAGCCAGATTTCATTGATTTATATTTGAGAGCTAAGGTAGTCTCCTTTGCAGACGTTATTAGTATCGGTCATACACATTCTCTCTTATGACTCATACGAATAACGTCTGCAAAGAGGGCTAGAACTAATAATTATATAATAATAAATATTGATTTCAATGGAATCTTTCCTAAAACTGAAAGTGCTTTACACTAAAAGAAAATTTACTCAAATGCTTCTTTAAAAAAAGAAAATGGTTTAATATAACAAACCAGAAACTGGCCCCCTGATAAACAGCCACAAATCCGCACATCACATCATGTTAGTTCAGTTTTCAAAGAATAAATGAGTTCATTTTGCTGTATGGCTGACTTATAATTGTCTTCCTGAGACGGCTTTACGAGCTGCATTAATGAAAGGAATTGTTGTATTCGTAGCATTCATGAGAACTGACTTCGATAGCTGAAAGCCCGTATGGAGAGCAAACAATAATTAGCTCTGAGTCCTCGTTTTGATGCTTGGGGTGCTCGGATTTGCATTGTGGGAAGGCATCCTCCTCAGGCAACTCTACATAAACTCCTTTTCTTTTTATTTACTAGCGGTTGGGCTTCCTTTGGCGAGAAGCGGGAAGATTAAGGGTGAGAGAGATGGAGGAGTTCTTTTCTTTTGTTCTTCCCTTAATTGTAACAAGCCAAAACATTCCATTGTTTACACTTTCACACTGTGGAATCAGACTATTATCAAAATGCCAGTGCAGGCGCGAATAGCCTCGGTCCTTGGATAGAAAACAATAAAATAAACAATCAATTTACGCATAATTTTTAGGATATTCCCGTCTGTACTGGAATTTTAAGAGCCACAGGGACGACGGAATGACTGCATATCACTGATACATGGAAAAATCTCAACTATATCAAATCAAGGGAATATACAAATATGTGTAAATTTCCAGTGTTTCTGCAATCACGATAAACATGCCGTGACGTCATTATGTAATAAGTAAGTTTACTTAAAGTATGTCCATTTGATGTATKGTTAGAATATATAGGCTTACTTGAGACCTAGGGGGAAAGCCTGGAGAATGAGAATACAGTACTGGGCGTGTTGTTCAAAGCCCGATTAGCGCTAATCCTGGGTTTTACATGTGATAACTCTTAGAAAACCTATGGAGTTAGAGTGCACGCCACATAAGCATGAAACAATTCTTACCTAATTAGCGCCTAATAAGATTTAGTTATCAACTAACTAAGAGTTTAGTGAGGCATAAACAAAGACAAGTTTCCTTTCTGGCATTGTGTTCATGCCCCAGTGAGTTCTTAGTTAGTTGATAACTAAATCTTATGAAATGTTGATAGTTAAGAATTGTTTCATGCTTTTTTGGCGTGCACTCTAATCATGGATTTAACGCTAATCGAGCTTTGAACAACCCGGCCCTGATAAAAAACCTGTTTTTTGATTGCTGCTTGCGTACAGCAGCTCTATTGTTACTTAGGCTAGGTTTTGTTTTATTGTTGGAAGACTTGTTTGTCCATTGTTTTATCAACCTATCACGAGACCTGCTCTGATTGGTGCTGACCGGCCACCCCGCGGGGAACGTGCCTCATAAGGCTTCAGGAGGAGACTAAGTCTAACTGTATTTCTATCCATTCCTCAGATAGCTTGAAATAAACTTAATACCTTTTTTCTTACTTCCACTATATTAAGAAATCTAATGTGTTATTTTCACATGTTGATGGAAATAGTAAAAAATCATAATTAATGTTTTGCATTGTTCTTGTTTGTTTGTTTGCTTTTGCTCGGCTTTACGTTGCTTTACGTTGCTTTGCTTTGTTGCTGTTGTTATTATGCGCTGTTGTTCGCTTTTTTTTCACTTCGCTCACAATGAAACCCGATAAAGTACAAACAATCCTGGCGTGATAGTCGCCACGACTTTACAAAACAAGACATATTTCATGAATATGAATGTTTAAATTGACTATTTCTCCTCAAATATCAAGATGGCGGATGTTTTGGGATGTTATTCATAAATAATGGAGGACGAAGCTTCGCGAAATTAACTATTACCAACCATTAATCAGCAGTTGCGTGCACTAGAGGATATATGCTTTCCACACCCTCAAAAACAGTCTTGACAGCAATATGTGTAGTATAGTTTCGTCTATATATCCCATAGTGCATAGTGCGGTGATTGCACAGCGTTGTTTGTGGAAAGAACCATTCTCTTTTTTTCTTTTGTTGGCAGTGGCAGCTACAGAATTTTATGAAAAGTCAGTCATTGTAAATAAGAAAGTGTCGACATTCAATATTAAAAAAAGCCACTCAAAAGCCTCAAAATGGACGCCAACCTGGACCCGACGTCTGTGAGTCATGTGACTTGTCACAAACTCAGTGATTTTCTGGAGAGTATTTCGATTCCATGGTGTGTTAATCGTATAAAATATAGATTCAAATATAACAAAAATCTTTCCATAGTTTAGAAATGTGCACTAGTCCTGTACTATTTATACAAGGGTTTTCCGTCGTTACTGTTGTTATTTTATTCAACTGTGGTATTTTTTCTTTAGTTTGTTATACTAAACATCCTTGGCATCAGCCAATTACCTTTTCATTTTAGATTGACTGCGGCCGAAACAAAGCACGCGGGGATTTTGGGAAACAGAAAAAGGACCAAATAGTTACGAGCGTAGCGAGTGATTTGTCGCCTTTGGTCTTTTTCCTAATGTGACAAGGTCACCATATTTGGAAATTGCGTGAGCGATCACGTTTGTAGCGCGCGTTTTACGCAAGTAAATCAGTTCTGTTCCAGATTCGGTCGTGTTTGGTTGTATTTTCTCCAACAACTTAATATCGAACCAACAACATCTTACAACTAAATCCATCACTTTTCAACCCGGTTACACTAAAATTATCAAGTGGTTTATTTCACCAAGAAACGCACTGCAATCCATCCTTTGTTGCTTTTATGATAAAGAAAGTTAGTCATGTTCGCTAGCGTACATTTACCGGCGAAACAATAATCAACAATAATGATTTTCAAATGTGCCTTGACGCAAGTCAGTCACATAGTATACTGTCCGCAAATGTTCCTCATGTCACAAGTTAAGCTTGAACGACTAAATCAACGCAATTTTCATTAAATTAAAAGAGAGAATGTTCGTGGATACATCTAATGGAAAAAGACGTCGGACCGCAACACGGTCACATGACCAAAGCTAAGATAGAACAGGATTCTGGGTACTTTAAAACTCATGTATAGTATTACTCATAGCAAAGTAGATATTCACTGTAAAAGTTTCCTAGAGACTATAACACTGTTATGTGAAAATAATCTTACACTAATCATACTTAATCGTTTGCTAATTATCATTTCCCAAGCTCCCTTTCGGTCTTAGTTCTGATGACGTAATACGATTTTTGAATGTTGATTCAATTTTTATTCGCAGTTTTATATATCAGCTGGAGTTCGACGGCGTAAAATAATTTTCTCTAAACTTATCACACATTATTTCAAATTCTCTGTTCTTGTCACGGAGAGAGTCCATAGTCACAGACTTCTGTTGAAACACGAAGAAAAAGTGTTACTTTATCTTCTCTTACAACATAAAATTTAATTTTAAAAGCAAATTATAGGAATTTGTAGGCACTGCTCAGTGTCATGCCAGATTGGGGTGCGCAAAGGATCACGGGAAGTCAGACATCTCTTCATGCAATGCGACCAGTAAAACGAGCAAGAGAAACGACTGGGTACGAGTCTTGTGTTATGCAATATTTTTGATGTTCAAATCAAAAAAGAAAAACATCTAAAAGTCTTTACTTRAAAAATATARAMCGACRCRCGCGTCTCTGTCCTCTGATATAAACACGGTTGGAGTTGAAAAACACGAGAGAAGCAAGCTTAGAAACACGGTCGCCAGCCAATCAGAGCACGAGTTAGATATCAAAAATTCTATAAATTTTAATCAGTAATAAAAGAGATAGGTAAAGTTTACTCACATTGTACTCGTGTGTCTTTTCCATGGTAATAAGGCGTCTCGAGATATTCGTGAATAAGTTTTGCTCGCTGTTTGCCACAAGTCGAAAGCATGGATGATGTGGGACTTTGCTGTCAGAATAACTGAACGAAACAAGTACACTTTTATTGTTTGAACATTTTTTAAAAGAGCAGAGAAATCTTTGTAAATAGGGTAGAATGTTTTGTACACCTTGTTTCATGGTGCAGAATGAAGAAGTATCGAACACTTGTTGGATGTATTAAGAACAGACATAAGAAAAGACCCTTTTTAATAAAACTTTTGGCAACACTCAGGGACTATCTATCGCTGACTGTGGTCACACTTTTAGAGTTACGGCTCTTTTCATTGTGGAAACTAAGAATTGAAACTAGCATCTGGCTGTGGCTAGGAACCTACCTTGGTTTGTAGACAGGTAACCAAAATACAAGCCGACCATTTAAACAGAGATACTGTGACGAGAAGTGCAGTAAACTTAGTATAATATCTGATAACC